AAAACGGATCCCCTCAACACCTTGGCTGCATCTAGAAATTCTGTCCATAAAAGTTATGAACAGAATCTGTGACAAAGGGCAACCTTGGCGGAGTCCAACTCTCACCGGGAACAAGCCCGACTTACTGCCGGCAATGCGGACCAGGCTCTGACACCAGTCATACAGGGACCTAACAGCCCGTATCAAAGGGCCCGGTACCCCATACTCCCAGATTACCCCCCACAGGGTCCCCCGAGGGACGGGGTCGAACACCTTCTCCAAGTCCACAAAGCACATGTAGACTGGTTGGGCAAATTCCCACGCACCCTCCAGGACCCTGCTGAGAGTGTAGAGCTGGTCCAGTGTTCCACGGCCAGGACAAAAACCGCACTGCTCCACCTGAATCCGAGGTTCGACTATCCGACAGACCCTCCTCTCCAGAACCCCCGAATAGACCTTACCAGGGAGGCTTAAGAGCGTGATTCCCCTGTAGTTGGAACACACTCTACGGTCCCCCTTTTTGAATAGGGGGACCACCACTCCGGTCTGCCAATCCAGGGGAACTTCCCCCGATGTCCACACAATATTGCAGAGTCGCGTAAGCCAACACAACCCTACAATATCCAGAGCCTTAAGGTACTCTGGGCGAATCTCATCCACCCCTGGGGCCCTGCCACGGAGGAGCTTTTTTAACCACCTCGGTGACCTCAGCACCAGAGATTGGAGGGCCCGACCCAGAGTCCCCAGGCTCCGCTTCCTCAGTGGAAGATGTGCCGGTGGGATTGAGGAGGTCTTCAAAGTATTCCGCCCACAGACCCACAACATCCCGAGTTGAGGTCAGCAGCACACCACTCCCACTATAAACAGTGTTGGTGGCGTACTGCTTTCCCCCCCTGAGACGCCGGATGGTGGACCAGAATTGCCTCGATGCCGTGCGGAAGTCATTCTCCTTGGCCTCTCTGAACTCCTCCCATGCCCGAGTTTTTGCCTCAGCAACCACCCGAGCCGCATGTCGTTTGGACTGCCGGTACCCATCAGCTGCTTCCGGGGTCCCACAGGCCAAAAAGGCCCGATAGGACTCCTTCTTCAGCCTGACAGCATCCCTCACCGACGGTGTCCACCATCGGGTTCGAGGGTTGCCGCCGCGACAGGCACCGACAACTTTGAGGCCGCAGCTCTGGTAAGCCGCCTTGACAATAGAGGCACGAAACATGGTCCACTCAGACTCAATTTCCCCCACCTCCCTCGGAGCATGTTCAAAGTTCTCCCGGAGGTTGGATGTTAAAACTCCATCTCACAGGAGACTCTGCCAGACGTTCCCAGCAAACCCTCACAATACGTTTGGGTCTGCCAGGTCTGACCGGCATCCTCCCCCACCATCGGAGCCAACTCACCACCAGGCAGTGATCAGTTGACAGCTCCGCCCCTCTCTTCACACGAGTGTCCAAGACATGTGGCCGCAGATCAGATGAGACGATGACAAAGTCGATCATCGAACTGCGGCCTAGGGTGTCCTGGTGCCAAGAGCACATATGGACACCCTTATGCTTGAACAAGGTGTTCGTTATTGACAATCCATGACGAGCACAGAAGTCCAACAACAGAGCACCACTCTGGTTCAGATCAGGGGGGCCGTTCCTCCCAACCACACCCCTCCAGGTCTCACTGTCATTGCCCACATGAGCATTGAAGTCCCCCAGCAGAACAAAGGAGTCCCCAGGAGGTGCACTTTCCAGTACCCCCTCCAAGGACTCCAGAAAGGGTGGATAATCTGAACTGCCGTTTGGTGCATAAGCACAAACGACAGTCAGAACCCGTCCCCCCACACATAGGCAGAGGGAGGCCACCCTCTCATTCACTAGGGTGAACCCCAACACACAGGCACCAAGTTGGGGGGCAATAAGTACGCCCACGCCTGCTCAGCGCCTCTCACCAGGGGCAACTCCAGAGTGGAAGAGTGTCCAGCCCCTCTCAAGGAAACTGGTTCCAGAGCCCGAGCCATGCGTAGAGGTGAGTCCGACTATTTCTAGCCGGAACCTCTCAGCCTCACACACCAGCTCAGGCTCCTTCCCCACCAGTGAGGTGACATTCCACGTCCCAATAGCCAGCTTCTGTAGCCGAGGATCAGACCGCCAGGGTCCCTGCCCTCGGCCACCACCCATCCCACATTGCACCCAACCTCTTTGGCCCCTCCCACAGGTGGTGAGCCCATGGGAAGGGGGACCCATGTCTCCTCTTCGGGCTGTGCCCGGCTGAGCTACATGGGTAAAAGCCTGGCCACCAGGCGCTCGCCCGCGTGCCCCACCTCCAGGCCTGGCTCCAGAGTGGGGCCCCGGTGACCCACGTCCGGGCAAGGGAACATTAGGTCCTTTTATTTTTCTCATCAAAGGTTTTTTTTTGTGTTTTTCTGTTTAAATAAAGGTTGAATTAATGAATGAATCGTCATTTGCATCACATGTGGTACATGAGGTGGAACAAAATTATGTACTCAGGGTCCCAGTTATACCCCAAAATAGCAACAAAAAAAAATAAATAAATAAAAAGAAACAATATATAAAAATTTAAGATATACACCATGGGCGTCAGAAGCATCTGTAATGTGGGAGGGACACTATAATGGGTGGGTGTGTATGCGCGTGCACCAGTGTGCAAAAAAAGTGTTGACTATTGTACAAAAAAGCAACATTTCATCTAGATGTCCTTACTTTTACTGGAAACTCAGAGGAGCTGAGTAGGACAAGAAAAGAGCTGGTGCTGGTATTAAGAGGGCGAAGGCCACATATGCAAAGAGGATCGAGGGTCAAATCATCTCACAAGACCCTCGGAGCATGTGGAGGGGCATTAAGTGCATAACAGATTATAAAGGAAGGAGCGAACAATGCCCCAAAGACCCATCTCTGCCTGATGCCCTCAACAAGTTCTATGCACGCTTTGAAGACCCGGACAGACCACCCAGCACCAGACTCACCTCACCACCGGATGAAGAGCAT